GGGGACCTGGGGGTGGAAGTAGACTGGACCGATGGGAGGGAGGGAGCCAGGTGGTTACGGGGCAGAGGGAACAGCAGGAGAGCAGGGAGCATGCCTGGGGTGCTGAAAACGTCACAGGGAGGCAGATGCAGCTGGAGGAGAGAGAAGGAGGTGGGAACAGTAGGATGGAGTAGGTGGATGTGGGTGGCCCCGCAGGCATTTGGATGGAACCCTGCCTTTTAGTCTGAGGAGTAGGAGGCCATGGAGGGCTTTGAGCAGGGAAGTGGAACAATCCAGCCTGGGTTTTAACTGCATGACTCCAGGTGCTGTGCTGAGAGCCGAGTGAAGAGGGAACAAGAACGGTGGTTGGTGATTGGTCAGGAAGCTGTCAAGTCCCGCAGTCAAGAGATGATGGTGGTTGGACCAGGGCGGGAACAGTGGAGGTGATGAGAATCAGAAGGGAAAGAATCTGGTCCTTGTAAATCCTGAAAAGAAATTTCCACAAGTTCTTAAGTGGATATCATTTCTACTGAAGATATATTTGTATCCATTGGCAGCCCTTGAAACACGAACCAAGTCGAGTTGGTTAGAGCAGCTCTTAAGAAGATGTGTGCCAAGCTACCTCTCAGCCACAGGGCTTGGAGTCAGCACGGCCAAAAGCAGGAAATCTGTGCTGTTACTCAGGTCCTCAGAGAATCTCTGGTCCACTCCTAAGGCTCCTTAAGCTACCCTGAGACCAGGGCTCTCAAGAAGGTCCTCAGACTTACTCAGAAGCCAGAGGGCCTGAGAATACATCACTCTTTGCAGAAAAAAATGAAAATTAGTATGTTTAATTTCTTCACCTAAATTGAATGCACTTGGCTGTCAACTAGGCTCTCGGAGGAAAAGCATACTTCATCAAGTGCTGTCAAGTTTCCCCACTAATATTTTTTGTTGTCCTTAAATGCCTTTCGTCCCTGTGAATGCTCATCTGCAGGCAGGTAGGAGTGGGCAAATGAGTTGAAGAAAACGGCATGAAAGGAAAGTTTGAGGAGGCTTCCAGCTCCCCAGTTACATGATTTAACCGCCATTAAATGATTTAACAAAGAAACACCCCGGTGCCCCTGTGAGGTAGTGATGTGCCCTGTGGAGGGTGGGTGAACCATGGAAACCACCGTTGTGAAGTGCAGGTCCCAAGTCCCCTTAGTCCGGGACCAGCACATCGTCACGCCCGCTGAGCCCAGCCTTCCAGACTTGCTGAAATCCAGGTGGCAATCCTGGCATCTCCCCTGGGCTGGCTTTTGGTTTTGTTCTTTCCCATTTTGAAAAACGAGGCTCCTCTTGGGAGTTCGGTAAGCCCAATGCGTTTGTGCCCAGTGGCTTGGTTACTTTAAACATTTATCTAGCCCCTGAGGAAGAAACAGTCTTTCTGTCCCAGTGAAATCCACAAGGTAACTGACATATTGAAGCAGTTGATGTGATAGTTGAGTCTGAGTCATGAGTAAATGAGCTAATGCTGCCTACGTGCATTATTTTTTTAATGCATTATTGTATCTACTCATCCTGGCCAATTTGATAACAGTTATCCCTGTTTTATAGACGAGGAAAACAGAAAACTGAGGCTAAGCGAGGTGAGGGAGCTTTTCCAGGATCACCCACCTAGCAGGTGGTCTGCCTGACTCAAGGCAGGAATCTTTATACTCTGCCCCACACGGAATGGACACCTGGGCAAGGTTGCATTTGTTTCATAGGTTTAGGTGGGGAAAGTCCCCAATGTTTGTACTGTTGCACATTTAATGTTCAATGTAAAGTTCTCTCCAGGAGTATAAAATTTTCTGGCCAGCAAAAAGCACTGCATTCTTCTTCCAAAATCTAGAGAGTAGAAACAGTGGATTTTTTTTTTAATACAAAGGTATTTTAAGGAATAATTGCAATTAATTTTACCCCACCAGTGTGAAACTAACCTAAAAGTAATAGGATCCTTTTGTGAAATTGTTGAGGGAAAAAAAAAATCTGAGCTGAAAATAGACATTAATGAGGAATTAAGTGGATCTTTCTTTCCTTCCAGCCATCCCGCCGTTTATCATGAACACTTTGGAAAAGAAAGCCTTTCTCAAGGTAAGTCCCATTTCTGTTTATCAGGGTCTCCATCCTTCCCCTCCGTTTTCAGACTTCTAACTATGCAGAGTGTTTCCCAGGTAAAAAGTGAGCAAAGGACGGAAAGGCCAGTGGCAGTTGGGCACTTCATGGAAGACTTCATTTCTAATACCAGGCATTTGATAAAGCTCTCACAAACCTTCATTTACTGAATACTGCCCACTTCTCTTCAGAGGTTAATGCTCAGGTACACACTCATCTCAGTCACCAGTCGGATCCCTAGCTGGGTAATAATGAAAAGATGGGGCATGTTTGGAATGATTCGTTTGTAAGTCACTATACATACTATCAGAAAGGAAAAAGTAATTTGGAGTGGTAGCCTCCGAGAGCACGGAATTTAGTGCCCCGATGTATCTTTCTGTGGTGATCATATCTAACAATCCATTAATCTATCAGCCGTCTCCCCTCGAGGTCTGAAAAATATTACAGGATGAAGCTGTGATGTTAAGACTAAGACATCTCTATGCACTGTCTGTATTCTTTTTGTAGCTTCTGTGATTCAGTGCAATAGTGTTTATGCTTCACCTTTCATACTCCAGCTTTTATAGCAAGTAGGAAGCGGCGGGATAGGGCTCATGCTGGGTTTGGAAACAGACACCGTTACACCTACCAGGAGGGATGGGTCCGGCTCCGGCTGGAGGAGCAGGCATGTGGGGTGAACACTCCAGCCCTCTTGGGGTGAATTGTTTTGGGTCTTAGAAACCAAACTGTAACATTGAGGGGACACAATGGGACTTTGAATAACAAAGGACATGGGTCACAGCCTGCGCTTTCTGAATGATTTCAGGGATTAGGAAAATTCTCAATGTCCAACAGGCATGTTCATGGGCTTGTCTGCTCCCTGTGGGCTCCAGAAGGAAGATTAAGGCTCACCCTGAATACTTCCAGCACAATTACATTCTTAGAAGAGTAAGCCAAGAAAGGGTGCTTTGAAGAAGCAGTAAATGTTGAGAGCCTTGATTGACCAGCGTGCCCAGGTGGTTTCGTGTTGATGCACCGACCCCTGTGGGAGGGAGAAGACCCCCTTACATCACCCCCTCATGCTCTTCCTCGGGAGCTTTGGGTGTGTGAACGAAGTCTATTCCCTGAGCTTCTTCCTCCTGCAGTTTTACATGGCGATGTGACTTGTGCGATCGGGTGTCACAGTAGCACTGTGGTGACTGAACTGCCCCATCGCTCGGTAGAGTGTTTTCGGGGGAATCCACAGACCCCTGGGCCACCCCATGAAGCTGCACGCTCAAAAGCTCTCTGAGTCCCCGTCCAACTCCCGGGTGGCTTCCTAGAGCCTTAGCTGTAAGATTAAACAGAACTGTGAAACAGTTACATACAGTTAATCAGTACAGCTATTCCTGAAGACCAAAATGTCATGGTGACCTCATTTGACATTTCACCTACTTGGGTAAGCTCTTATTTTGAGGATCCAGGAAAAGATCTTGCCGACGTCTCTTTCTGCTGCAAAGTTCAGAAAAGATGAGCTCTTTAAAGCTGCCAAGGAATTCGCTTATGTGCTGGGACGGTGACGAGATCGTAAGACTACCGTATTACATAAACATCTAGAACTCACCCACTTTGACATCTCAGTGGTTTTCAGACAATCTGAAAATAGTGACGATGATAATGCTCCTTCCTCTGTCCGTCGCTGCTTTCCTCATGGGAAGTGATTTAGGCTTTGAGGGAGAAAACCTGTCAAGTGAACTTCCAGTGGGGACCATCAGCGTGACGCTAGGAGGAAGTGGCCCATCCGGTAAACCCGCAACTTCACAGGCATTGAACTGATGCCCTATGCTCTTCTCTGCTGGCCCTTGAAAAGTCACTGGGGTGGCAGTACTTCTGCCAGGGCGTATGTTGTTGCACAGGTTGTCCTCTAATACCTTGGTGACAAACACTTGGTGACAGAAGACGTAGTTGGGCATATCGCATCATTTTCTTGCGGAGACACAGACAGAAATTGCTACAAATACAGCCTGGCATTTTCTTACATGAAGCAACCAGCAGATGATCCAAGCAGCTGGCCTGCCATCGCCGCACTGCCCTTGGCTTTTTCACAATCGTAAATGAGTAAATACTGTGTTTTCCTCCCTCGGCTTAGTTGGTGACTTTCAGCTTTGCTTTGGAACCAGACGCATGAATAATAATTTGGAGGTGTGCTACCTCACTCCCCCTCTGCCCTCCCCCCACCTCCCGAAGGGTCTCACGTGGAGCCTGAAGGGGCCATTGGCATCAGAAGCCCCGTGTCAAGGTCGGGAGAGGCCGGCGGAGCAGCTCACCAGGCAGTCCCAGCGCCTCACTAGCTCCATAGGGTCTGGTTACAGTTGAACTCATTCCAGCCTCCGTGGAGGATGCTGCTTTGAAAAAGCAACAGCTGAATGTGGTTGAGCTCCTCAGACGTACATCCCACTGCCATGTTCATGGTTGCTGTCAGACCGAAATACTGCATTTTGCCCATGAAGAGAAAACTTTTGGACTTAATCGGTAGTGTGCCGTGATGAAAACCCAGGCAGAGGCTGCTTAGATGTGCATCCTGCATGCATTTCCACCTGCAAAGCACTGTCACGTGCTATCTTGAAAGGCAGGCTTTTTCCTGGCCCCTTTGACAGAAGCTCAGCGATCATCTCCTCAGCAGCTCGTAAGGTCCATGTGGGTGGCATCTGCCTCGGTGGTCAGCCCTCTGTCCCCAGCTCCAGCGCCCAGATGCACCTCTGTGCAAGGGTGCACTGATCTGGGCTTCTACCTTGGACAAGACCAAACTCCTCTGCAAACATGAAATGAATTGAATGTTCTTGGGTTTTTTTCAACGGTGCACTTGGGGAGGCCTTGGAATGACTCATCCTTCCGCCCTACGCCTTGTCTTTTCCCAAATGGAGCCCTGGGAGGTGGCGTTCGCTGGAGGCAGGTGACTCACGGAAATCTGTGCAGTCAACCAGAAAGTTCCCTGCTTAAAATCTGCTGCTTCGCCCAGCAGTTTTCTTGAAGAATAGCTTCCATGTTCTCTTTACCTTACTGGCATTTTCATTGAGAATAAAGCTGATGTGGTTTGGGTCAGATAAGGGCCCCTCATTTCTTAACCCCTGGTTCTTTTCATATTTTCCTTAATAAAGGTGGACGGCTCTGACTACTCAGTAGATTTCCAGGATTGTCTGCTGACTGAGTGTAGAGGTGGCGTTTATTTGTTCATTTATATATTTTATTCAGTAGCCCTCTGCCGAATGCCTGTTGCATGCCAAGCAATGTGCTAGGTGCTAGAATCATAGAAATAGGGCATGAGCCCTGCTCTCAGGGACCATGAAGCACGGTGGTGGGGAGAGCCACAGGGCAAGTGGTTCCAGGACACAGTGAGTACAGTGTGGGGCACAGAGGAAACGTACAGGAGGCTTCTCCCTCAGTTGCAGTTGGTGGGCAGAGGCTGGAAGAGGACTGGCCGGGGGCACATGCTCTGCAGAGGCTCCGAGAAGACACAGAGGGTGACGTACAGGGAGACTTGTGGATGGTCAGGTTGCCTGGGATGCTGGCCGTGTGTCAGGAACTGAAGGTGCCATATATAAAAATCAACTCCCAATGGTCCATGAAATCTCGATATAAAGAAAACTACAACTGTCAAACTCCTAAAAGGAAAATATAATAGAACCTCTTTGAGACCTAGAGTTGGGCAAAGATTTTTTTTGACACAACACTGAAAGCACCGCCCATAAAAAGAAAAACTGACAAATTGACTAAAATATATAAACGAACAAATACACCCCACCTCTGTACTCAATCCAAATGGTAAAATTCTGTTCTTGGAAAGCTACGAAGAAAATGAACATTCACACAACAGACTGGGAGAAAATGTATGCAAAGAACATATCTGATAAATGACTTGTATCCAGAATACATAAAGATCTCTCAACACTTGTTCAAGAAAACAACCCAATTAAAAAAAAAATGGGCAAAAGGTTTGCACAGACATTTCACCAAATATATACAGATGTCAAATACGCACGTGGGAAGATGCTCGGTGTCTTTAGTCATTGGGGAAATTCAAATTAAAACCATGTTAGCTGCCACGAAATGCTCGTCAGAATGACTAAAATTTAAAAGACTGACCATAACAAGTGTTGATGAGGATGTGGAGGAACTGGAACTCTCATCCCCTGCTGGTGAGAATGTCAAATCTTATAGTTTGGCAGTTTCTTAAAAAGTGAAACAGAAGCTTACCATGTGACCCAGCCATTTCACTCCTAGGGATCTGCCTAGAAGAAATGAGAACGCAAGTCCATAAAAGCCAGATGTTCGCAGCGGCTTTATTTGCAATTGCCAAAGACTGGAAATAAGCCAGATGTTCATCAACAAGAGGATGGGTTGATCTGATTGTCGTGAATCCACACAAGGGAACACCTAACTCAGCAACAAAAAGTGCTGAGCTCTGGATGCACACAACCACAGGAATGAATCTCAGAATAATTACCCAAGACAGTAGCTACTCTATATGTAATCCTAGAAAATAGGAACTAATACGTAGTGACAGAAAGTAGATGAGAGGTTGCCAGGGAGCGGGTGACCCTGCGGTGTAGGGAAGATGGTGGAATAGCCCAGGCCACGAGGAATAAGGAAGACATTAGGGATGATGGACATGTTCATTATTTTGATCGTGGTGATGGCTTCACAGCTGAAGACATATGTCAAAACTTGTACACAGTGAATCTGTGCAGTTTATTGTATGTTGGAAAGCTATTCGTGAAAAGATCATCGGGAGGAGAAAGAATCGAGAGTCAAATTAACTTTTTGTAGTTTTTACCTCTTTGAAGATATGTCTTTTAAACTTACAATTCCTGTCTTTAATTCATTTAAACTTTTCATTTCGAATACCCTCCGTTTGCACGAGTCTGTAAGGTCCCTACTTGAAGGAGCTCTGAGGTTATCTAGGGGAAAACCACACATCGTTAGCTCGCTCGTGTATTCTCAGACTCAGTCCTGTTGAAGAAGTCGGGAAGGATGAGGCAGGATGCGGTGCTGGGGAGGGAGTTGGGAGGAGGGATGACATGCAGGTTGGGGGCTCACAGGAGACGTCAGAATTCTGTAGGATCCCAGTCATTGCTGAGAGCCTTTCCAGCAAAGCCGCCGCCAGCCTTTCGTTTGGACACGTCCATCGTTGAGATCACACACAGCTGTTCAAGAGTCCACTTGAAATGAGAGGCTGCTCTCACGGGCTCTCGTGGGCTCGTCTTCCCACAAGATCCCATCAGTACCCGTCACCAAGTCTGTGGACCCGCGCAGAGGGCACACGGGGAGGTGCTGGGAGAAGGATTTCCCATCTCCTTGTGAAAATCCTTCATCATCGGTCGGAGCCAGTTGCCCCAGATACAGGTTTCCTCTCCTTGCTGTCCTTTGAGGGATGACACTGTGTGTGTCTCTGCTCATCAACGTTTCTCCCTTCCTCTCTAGCCCGTGCCTCCCTCCCCTCACGTTAACCTGCGCGATGTACCCTTTCGCCAGAGGAGCCTCCTCGGGGACCAGGGTACGCCTCCGACGCGAGCCGCCGTGGAATCATGGTTTTTTCACAGCTTGTGTTGACTCTTAACTAAGTTGGCTGATTTCCTTACAACCGATTCACAGCTCGGTCGCAGCTAGTTCAGTGGCCTGATTTAGAGTAATCTAGAGACCTCATCCCTCTTTCAATTGTGTATTACACCTTTTTAAAACTCCTTTTTGAAAACTAAAAATCTAATGCACATATTCTCCAAAACACCAACGAACTCATTCATTTCCATTAAAAAAAAGTGATCAGCAAAAATGTGTTATGCCAGCAAGAGTTTTAACCATGCTGACAGCAACTAAAACCACGAAAGAAGAGGCACAGAGGAGGGCAGATGGGGCGGGGTGCTCGTTGGGCATCTGCTACGGTCCAGGCACGGTGCTAGGGGCTGTGTGAATGTTATCTGGTGCATCTTCACTTGCAAGCTTTGAGGATGCTGTGGTGATCCCCACCCTACAGAGAAGGAGACCAAAGCCTGGAGAGGTTGGGCTCCGTCTGCCCTTTCCCCACGGTCGGGATGAGCTGGTAGGGCAGAGCTGCGTGCGGGTTCGTTAGTCTTCCAGCCTTGGAGCCAGACCGCCCTGCCTCCCCGGCTACGAGAGAAACTATCGCGAAGCGATAATGGTTTCTCCAGCTCCCAGAGACAGCCAGGCAGCTCTCAGATGATACGTGCAGGGGAACAAAAGGAGAAGCCTCCTGAGCTTTGCATGTGCGTCCAGCGACAGATCAAGGAGGGGACCGGGAAGTCAGGACTAACGGGCTTGTTGGCGTGTTACGGCCGCATCTCACTAATCGCATTCCAGCCGGATCTTGTAATGGGGCGTGGCTCCTTCCGGTTTCCCAGCAGAAGAGGCGGTCTCTCAGAGCCTCTATGTGAGTTATTCAAAATCATTTCTCTCTCAACACAGAGGTTCCCGTGGATGAGCGCCCCCATCCAGGTTGGACTGGTTGGCTTCTGGTGAGTAGAGTGACTCTGATGTCATTAATTTCTCTGTCAAAGAGAAATACACGGTATATGAAAGGTGAGGGAAAGGGTGGATGACATGGGACACAAGCTTTTTTCTAATACTCATTTATTTAGTCATTTATTTTATTTATTTTTTTTTAATGAAGGTGCTGGGGATTGAACCCAAGACCTCGTGCGTGCTAAGCACGTGCTCTACCACTGAGCTGTACCCTCCCTGGGATACACTTGAAAAATGTCAGACCATGCCCAAAACATCTGGAACTCATGGTCCCAGTAACTCAGCTGGAAGTAAATTGTTTTTAGAGAAACCTACAACATTTTAGGGCAATTGGCGTGATTCTTTTTTGAAGTCCTTTTATCTCTTTGATTTTTTAAAAAATTATTTTGACCGTCACTGGTAATAAAATCACACGAACAGGACATATTTTTGTGAAGCAATGTAACACTCGAAAGAAAGAAAAGGAAGGGAGGAAGGAAGGAAGGAAGGAAGGAAGAGAATTGTTATAAAAGTAAAATGGAGAAAGAATCTGAAAATCAGCCATTTCAAAATGCTGTGATTTGTCTCTTGTTTCTTTGTTTTTAAGTTTGGTATTTGCTACGCCTCTGTGCTGCGCTCTGTTTCCTCAGAAAAGGTATGTATTTGTTATTCTTTAGAATAATCGTGAGTTCTGATCTTAAAATCCAGTTGAAGGTGCGGGTCCGTTTCACTACTAGGAAAGTTGACTCTCAAAACGATAATTGAAACCAAGTCTCTAGAAGGCAGAGACAGAGGCAGAAATCAAACGCACATTTGTTGAATTTCAAAACCCTCTTTGCCCGGCTCTTCTCTGCTACTGATACCTTCGAAAATGCTTTATTCTTGTGTTAAGACTCAGGTTAGCTCGGGTGCAAATTTGCTTTTATAAAAATTTAAATATGGTTCGTTTGTTGTCCGGTCCCGTGGCCAAGGCACACTACCGTGCAGTTGTATTAGAACTTCAGCTCCACCCCCAGGGACGGCAGTTACATGCACTTACCTTCAGTGGTTGGTCTGTTTGCTTCCCCACTTCTCCTATGCGGAGTTTTTGTTTTGCTTTGTTTTGCCTCAAAAGCTTTATTGTACACAGGTCTTTCATCACCAGCTGCCTTTGAATCCTGCCTTTGATGTAAGAACTGGATGGACGGGCACTAAATCAGCATCCTATAAACAGAGGGCTTCCGCCGCCTTCCAGTCTAACATCACGGCGCAGAGAAGCAGCATTTTCTGTTTTGCTGTGGTTTGTGTCACTAGGCCCCTGCCTTTGTAATATCCTCCGTGGCCGGCGGGTCCCCAGCGTGTGGCCTTTCATGCCCTGGGCATTTGTGCAGGTTTGAGATGAGGCGTTCTGCTCCAGAACTAGCTCCATCAGGTCCCTCTGAATGCCATCTTTTATCTGATCTTTCACTGGACAAATTTGAAAGAGAAGGAGCCTTTATCACTTTGATGCCTATAGCCAAGCCCCGCCCTTGGGGAGGGCAGGACCCTCAGAATCTGTGTTCAGGCCCAGCACAGATGAATTTCCTCATCTAAAGAGGAGCACGCCTACCCATCTCATTGTGCAAACCCCAGAATCTTGGGGCTTCATAACAGAAAAACTTATTTCTTGAGTGCATAACTTTGGAATATCTGCATTTAGCACTTGACTTTGAACTCAGTGACAGAGATAGTGTCTGTGAAGTCCTGAGGAGCACGCCTGATAGCTGGCTGTTCTTATTTTGAGATTAAAAGAATGAAAATTGTGGGAAGGGATAAAGCAGGAGTTCGAAATTTGCACCTCTTGGGGAGTGATGGAAATGTGAGCTATCTTGATTGTGGTGGTGGTTTCATGGCCTTGATTTTGTTTAAGTGTTAGGAGAAAAAGCAATATATTCATTCTGATATTTGTTTTACGGAGTGAACTCTAGGTCTAGAAATTCAAAGATCTCTGTACCTGCTAGTGCCATGAAGTCACATGGTTTTACGTTCCGGAGACCAAGGACTCTCTCTCGTCTTCCTCTATTTAAAAACAAAGGCTATGAGTCTGGTTATTTCGTGTACACATTTGTTTGTACGTTTGTTTATATTTCTGTCCCTCACTAGTTCGGTAGAGTAATCATATCCCTTGGTTTGTAACACGCTGTCCTCATTGGTCCAAAAAGGACCCTCTTTTATTTTATTGATTTTAATGAAATAATGACCATTCAGGAATCCGCTGCCCAACCCATGAATAAAACTGTTGCCAATAGGTTATATCTATCCCTGAGTTCTTCCAGCCCTTCTCCCTGCCTCCCCTGCAGATTTAATCACGGGGATGAATTTCATGCTGGTCATGCAGTTGCACTGAAAACTTACCATCATCGTATATAAGCATGAGTCTTATGGTGGTGTTTAGTTTTGCCTCCGTGGGAACCTTTCAGAGAAGAGTGTCATATTCCTTTTGTTCAACATCATAGGAGTAAGATCCCTCCCCATTATTGCATGGAGTTGCAGCTCATTCACTGCTGTGTGTTAGCCACTGTATGAATACACCACAATTATCCATTCTCCTACGTGAATGAGACGAAACGAAAACACTCTTAGCAAAACCTGTAGGAAGCAGCAAAAGGGTTGCTTTGAGAGAAGTTTGTAGACTTAAATGTTCCTATTAGAGAGAAAAAATGGCTGAAAATCAATGCAGTAAATGTGCAACTTAATTTTAAAAAGATAAATAAAAATAAACTCCAGAGACAGAAAAAAGAAGGAGGTAAGACCATAAATAAGTCAAACAGATAATAAAGAAACACTTGAGGGTCCACAAAGTCGAAGTTGATCCTTTGAAAATAGAAACAAAGTAGACAATTATCTTATGATGTCAATCAAAACCAAAAGGCACAATGATAATTATAAATGAAAAAAAGGCGAAACTACGTAGATCCAGCAGAGATTGAAAAGATAGGAGAGTGTTACCAACATTATCACACAGTAGATGTGAAAACAGGCAAAATGGACGAATTCCTAGAAATGTATTATCAAAGCTGAAAAATTAGAAAGTCTGCATTGGCCTCCAGCCGTGAAGGAAGTTGCAGTGATCGTTAAACTTCTCCCCACAAGGAAAACACAAGAACCAGGTGGTTTTACAGGGGAGGGTTACTCAAGTGTCAAGAAACAAGATTATTCCAATTTCTTAAAACTCTCCTAGAAGATAAAAAAAGAGACCACTCCCCATCATCCATTAGGGTTTGAGTAACTTTAATTCCAAAATCGGATTTGTCCTTTAAATTATATCAGTAGTAATTGTACATACTTACAGATCAATGGAAACCTGCAAGGACAGAGACACAGTGTAGCCCGTTGGTTTGGGGCGTGGCTTCCGGGTCGAGCTAGACCGGACTTCACATCTCAGGTGTAACTCCGGTTTCCTTATCTGTAAAACTAGGTTAATACCTGACTTTCAGAGTCTTTATAAGAACTGAAATGCGTAATGTCTGGCCCCCAAAATGAGCAACAAGTCACAGCCATTATCATTCTCATATTATTTTAAAATTACCCAAGGAACCACTCCATAGGGAAAAAAAATAGCCAATGTGGAGGGGTTTTTTTTAGTTTCTTTCTATAGTCAATAATTTTTCCTTTTTTTGACATATGTTTATTAATCTTTACCTCGTAGTTTACCACGTCTCAACTATCTTAAAGAACAATTCTTTTCAAAAGACAAATTACATATCAGAATGTCAGCAGTTTCTCTGGGCAATTTCTCCTCATCCTTTTATAGAACACGTATGTATTAATAACCAAAAAAAAAGAAAAAATAAGCTTTCATACACATACCCCTATAATAAAGTACATTTTTTTAAATGCCTAAAAGCCAAAAGACTCACAGTGGCCATTCTCAGTGGTGTGACTAAAGAGATGGTTTTTCTCGCACCTTCTAGCATTTTCTAGAAGTTTTAGCATTAGTTGCATTATTATTTATTAGACAGTGGACAAAAAACACATTAGTGCAAGTGAATTTTTAGTGCTAAAAACTCCACTGAGTGCATCTGTCTTTTTTCGTTAGTGGTGAACGTTTATATTGTTTCCCTTGGGAAGTGGCATAACCGCAGATTGTTTTGCGGTGCTGTCAGTGCCTGAACGTACTGCAACCATACTTCCTTGCCAACGATGAGTGCTTAAGCCTTTTAATAATGGGAGAGGTCAAGAGGGTCTCTCAGTGCACTTCTTGGGTCCTTAGTGACAATTTTCTGAAAGGCACAGGGTGCTCATTTTCTGGGCACACAAAGCGTTTTTCCAACAGGACTCTGCACCAGTCATGGGGGCGGTGGGGGTCCCCTCTCTCCTCCCTTCACGTCCTAATGCCCACCCCCACCCGTGGAATAACCATGTCGTCTGTCCCTTATCCCAGTTCCATGTCCGTGACAAGCCTGGAGGAGGAGCTGCGAGCCAAGATACGAGAGACCCGTCCTGACTTACAGCGCGTGTACTTTAACAAGGGATTGTGAAGCAGGGGCAGAAACGCCTTCAGCCGGTGCCGCCAACCACAAGCCCGGTGTAGCCGAGCTGGCGAGGAATACCAGCCCGGGTCCTCCCAGTGACACAAACCTTTGAAAGCTCCACGTTAGCCTTTTAGAGTCAAGCTGCTGTGTACAGCGCAGCACCTGGTGTGGGCCGGGTGCCCCCACCTGTTGGCCCCCTTCCATTTGAATCACGGTCTGATTTACAGAGGCACCCTTCCTGCAGCTTTTTCCAAGGCCACTGTCCCAGCCCTCCCCCGGAGTTTTCGAAAGCCCCGCTAGGCATACAGTAGACGTTCACTAGCTGCTCCACAAATAACTTGATTATCAGTCGGCGGAAAGGACATCTGTTTGAAACATTGAACTGTTATTCCCACTTTTGTTTCCAATCAAAGCGGTCTCAGTAGTGAGTTGGGGAAACGCAAAAGCTCTGAGGCCAAACTGTGAAAAATGACTTGTACATGTTCAGGGCAGCTGGCCCCCAGTCTGAGCAGGAAGCATCGCAAAGTAGATGATGGGTTTCTTGGATTCACAGACAAAAGCTCCTTCAGATCAGATACCTCCTGAAAGTCATAGGAACAGGCAGTCGCGAGGCGAGGTCCCCGCTGTCAGCAGCTGTGTGCTTTCGAATTGCTGGTGGGATTTCTTTGCCTGACTTTTAAATGTATCCTGTTTCACATTCCTGCGAAGGTGTTAATCTTCCCTTTACCTGTTGGCTTTATATTGAGTGATTTAAGCCAACGAGTCAACTAACTGAAATGTTAGTTGGAAAGGCAAATTTTGGAAGTCTTTCCAAAACTAGTGCAGTATGACTAATTTGAATCTGGTTTGTTTGCTCTTGTCTTGTTTTGTTTTGTTTTGTCTGTTTCGTTGTGTAGAAGCTGGTGCGCAGTTCGTTCACCTACAGGTCTTTCTGTGACATCGTAGCTCTGTTTGGCTTTCAGAAAGATACAGACACAGTGTGTGCGTGTGAATCCGTGACTAAGTGACATTTACTTGAATGTTGTATATTACATTCCACCCCTTGTGAGAATAACCAACGCCCGGACCACTGTTTTCATCACCCAGGTTAGCTTCACAAATAATACATTTAACGAAACAGAGATGATGTTTCAGTTCTGTCGAGGTTCAAAGGCATAAGCAGAATAGTTATTTTATCAAGTGTAGACCACTCGATTAAACTTGTAATTCAGAGACTTAATAAGTGAAAAAACAAAAATGTAGAAACTAATCTTGGCAGATTTTTTCCTGACAGTGTGACCAGCCTGAATTTCCTCACAAAGCGAGAATGGTGTGCCTCATGTCTGTGTTTCTGTTTTGTCTAAAAGGATTAATGGACCCAAAGCTTTGGGCCACTCTGAGCCTTTCTTTATGCTGCCAGAATTTCCTCGTTGAGAGTTTCTCTATTAAACCATCCCGTGACATTCCGGCCTTGGATGTATTTTGTTGCTATAGAGGCGTCTCTTTAAAAATTGATAAAAGCCGGAAATTCCAGGCACACCTCCACAAGGTGCTTCAAGGGCACTTCTAACAAGAAACTAAAGCCCGTGAGGCCTGCCCTGCTCACCCCAGCTAATCTCAGAATCCCTCTCCCCTGTCCACTGGTGGCCCCATCTCAGAATCTTAACCTTCATTGAAAAATTTATGACCAGTTGGAAGATTGACAAAATAACCGATATTTGAATACACACCAGGAGGACAGGACCAAAGCATCATGACACAAGGGATGACAAGCCTGGAAGTGTGTCTTTTTAAACACTATTTACTGAAGTTTCCGACTCCTGATGCTTTTATAGAGAAATACGAACTGTAGCGTCGAATTGTGGTTTATAAAAAGGAACAAATTGAGCCAAGATTGGCAGTCTTCGCTGATCTCTTTGAAATAAATAACCTTTTTTTGGAGGAAAGTTCACGTGAGGTGCAATCCGCTGGTAACCGCAAATAGTTAATTAACATTGCTATGAACACGACATTAAGAATTAACGACTGTAAGTGTTAACTGACTGGCAGTTTTGATTTCAGTATTAGCACCGTGTCTTGCCAGAGTTGGAGTCAATGTATTATTTCAGTTCGACTGGATGAAATGTTAAATAAACTCGGAATGAAAATAAATCCTCTCTCTGGTTTGTACGGAATGGATGATGCAGTTTGTATGTTACGACCGATGGTACGTTTCATGTAAACTGAATCTCTCGGTACCATCAGTAACTCCTAGTAGATGTTTCTGTAGTACACCTTACGTGGGAAACAGATTCTAGTTCTGGCCACCAGCCTTCCACCTTCTCAAAGACTGCGTGCACAGAGATGCACAGACCCCCCCACCAGCCCCACGCAGCGCAACCCCAGGACCATTAGTTGTGCCCACAGCGGGAGTGAGAGTCTGCATCTGGATGGCTAACACCATTGCACAAGGTGGTGAGGTCACTCCGCTTTTATATCGTTTGTTGGATTCTAATGTGGAACTGGCATTTGCCGTGGTTCACAGAAAATATAAATTAACCCAAGATTGGGAAATGCCTTATGAACAGACTTCTTAAAGAGCTGTGAGCATTTTAACCTTCTTGGTCACATCTCTCTGCATCTGTTTCGCTACTGGAACTCAGTTTGTCACTTAAATTATGTAAATAAATCCAAGAGCTTGGGTCTAGGAGTCAGACGGAGCTGATGCAATCTTGGTCGTACCCACTTTTAAATATATGTATTTGGGATACGGACATCCTCTGTGACCTTCAGTCTTGTTCATTTGGGTGATTTGAGAAAATGATTGAGTCTACGTCGTAGAGTTGTAACCAAGGTACTTCCTGTACAGCAGTTCACATAGTGAACAGTCTGGGGGGGGTCGCCCATCATGTATTTGTCTAGCGACACTGCCCATGCATTCAAAACGCCAGTATATCAGTGCTAGCAGTAAGATTTCAGAACCCTGGCAACTTCCCCAGAGATAACCCACCACCTCACTAAAAATAGCAGATTAAAATGGTCACAGGGAGACACCTGAATCCATCCTTTGAAGCTGTCTAACGATGAAGGGTTTTGCCCAAACGAGATAGAGGTGGGAAAAGTCTCTGCTCACGGCTGAGAAGGCGGGGGCTTCCATAGTGAAATGCAAGTTCAAGGCTGCATCTGGTGGCTTGAAAACTAGAATGGGAGCCAAGGTCTGACCCCCAAACCGACAGCCCTGTCCAAAAGTACAAACAACTGGGACACTAAGAAAATTAGTGTTTCCCTTGTGGATTCAGAATTTCACTGCGAACTGAAGAAATATAAAGTTACATTGGGTAGCAATGCTAGAAGGTGTCACTTCAACCCCCGATGTTCAAAGTATGGTCCACAGCCCAGCGACATCCAGGTTTGCTAGAAATGCAAGTTCTCAGGGCCCAGCCCGGACCTACTGAGACAGCATATGTAAACATCGCAGCTGGAGAAGTTCCGGCTGTGCCCCGTCTCCCGTGCTCCATCAGGTCCATTTCAGATCAGCTTGTGATACTCTATGAATTTGCATATTTACCACTCCCCCCCCCCCAGAGTGCAAGGAAGCATTTAGGTTCAATGTGGACATACCGAGGGGCACAGATCAACAGGCATCTGAGGGCAGGGATGTCCATGTGGTCCACTGCCAGAGCTCCAGCACCCAGAGAGCTGGTGCCGGCCACAGGTCCACATGGTCATCGGGTTTAACCTGGGCTCTTGCTGGGGATCTGAAGCCATGTCCCTGTATTTCCAATTTCCAATTGTGGAAAAGAATCCACCTGGCATTGTGCAGAGAGGTCATCACCAGGATGCAGAAAGAACAGGGACCATGAGAGTTTCTGGGAACAGAGCTGGAAAGGAGCAGCGTCCCCAGGCATCCAGAGGCAAAGTGGCCGCGAGCAACCAAGTTGTGACTAGGGTTTGTCTGGAACCAGCCGGTTTGTCACTCAGGGCACCACTGGCCCTGGAGCTCCTGGAGCAAAAGGAGCATTGGCGATGAAACTCACAGGGGCTTGTTTCACACTCAGGGAGCCCATGGTCTGCCCAGTTTTAAAGAGATGGGATCTGAGGCTCAGACAGGTGGACTGACTTGTGTAATGTCACATGGTGATCCAACCACCATCTCAGTCCAGACCTGTCAAACTCCAAGAAGTGTCCTCCACTGTACTTCACGGCCTCTCCATCAACTGGAATAGTTAGAACTAGCTCTGGTACAGCATTTTACAATCCTCAAAGTGGTTTCACGTCTGCATACATTACTCCTTGTTTTACTGAGTCCAAACTCATTCTGCTCGCCGCACAACAGGCCAGTAAATCTGGAGATGAGGTGCTGGGGCAAGGAATAAGCGACTTCATTTGGAAAGCCGGCAAACCAAGAAGATGGTAGACTAATGTCTTGGAGAACCACCTCACCCAAATCAGAATCCAGGCTCCTTTTATACTAAAAAGGGGGAGGGGGTGTGGTTGATTGTTGCAAACTTCTTGGTGTAGGAATCCTTTGTTCTCACAGCTGTCCAAGAGGGTCAGATCATGGTGCCCCTATAAAACCTCTAAGAAAACAAAGGTTATTTTCCATTCTGCAACTAGATATCTTTATAGGAGCAAAAGTGTTAATATCCTTAAAGGTCAGAGCCTTGAGAATAGGCTCTCCTGTATATTTCAGGCTAAAGGCAACTTTGTTTTTACGAAAGGTGCAGAGCCCGCAAGACTAAGCCTAGAAAACAGGGCACAGGGTTAAAGCCAAAGGAACAGGTCTCATACGGAGTCAGATTTGTTGCATTACTCTTGTAATAACGCCAAGGGTTCCTCTGAGCATCTCTTCATTAAAAAGGTGGGGGCAAAAGTCCTGAAGAAGTGAAATCACTTACCACAAACCTAACTTGGTGAATTCAAAGGCTTTATAAAAGAACGTATTCACATTCCTTCATACACAGCAGCAAACAAAAGGTTTGCAGAACGTACAGTATTCAGATAAGCACCCAACGGTCAAAGGCGGGTCGGCAAGGTCATTGCCAGATGGGGTCCCCTATTACAGTAACAGGAGCAACCGTTCTCACAGCGTGGTACCTGGACCAGCAGTTACAGCATCAGTGGGAATGAGAAATGCCTCCTCTCAGGGCCTTTCTCCTCATACTGAATCAGAAACTCTAAGGTGGGACCCAGCCAACTTTTAACAATCCCTCTGAATGATTCTGACACCAGAAATTCAAAGGGCATGGAGGGATAAATTAGGGTTTGGGGATTAACAGAAGCACATCCCTATATATAAAATCGATAAATAACAAAGACCTACCGTATAACACAGGGAACTATATTCACTTTCTGCGGAGAGAGCCGCAGCGCGCAGAAGCGCCGCCAGGCAGCAGCATTGCCTGCAAGACGAGCGGCTGGAGCCTGCTGATCCCTGGAGCTGCCGGCAGGTGGCGCAAGGCAACGGACTTAGGCCTGCCAACGTGGGTCTCTGGATTTCTGATGCTAAGTCCGGAAGAGGGTGCAGGAAGCTATGAGAAGGACAGATGTGATCTCTCCAGCTGCAGCAAGTTGGAAAGATGCCCTGGTTTGGCTTCCGACAGGCAGGAATGGAGTCATCCACTGGGGCTCATTTTCCAGGGTACCGGATTCCCAGTGGCAGCGGGGCAGAGCGGAACCAGAACCAGACCAGAGTCAGTTCCCGCCCTCGGGGCTATCAGTGCTGTGACGCAGGCCAGTCACACCTGGAATCACACCTGGACAATGAACCCTGAGCCCGGCTGGCTGGATGAGGGGAGCTGGCAAGCAGGGACGGCTTGAGGGAGCAGGAATTTCTCAGTGGCAGGAGACGGGGCAGGAAGAAAATTGGGGCTCCTCGGGGGCAGGGGAGAGTCCATGTGAAAGACCTGGAAACCAAGGAGACTGTGGCTGAAGGTTGTGTGCACCAAGGGAAGTTTGGGGAAGATGCTCCCAGGTTCTCAGGGCCAAGTCGTGGGGGCCCTTCGGTGCCCAGTGAAGGAACATGGACTTCATCCTGAAAGCAGGGGGTCCTTCTCAGGGTGGTTTGTGCAGGGGAGGAATAGCAGTCAGGTCCTAGCTCTGTCTCTTACTGTTTCTTGCTAAGAGACAAGCCAGATCCCTTCTCTGAGCCTCAGTGTTCTCATCTGTAAGATGGAGACAATAAAACCCACCTTAGGTCTTGTGGTGAAGGTTAAAATGGACAAGTGGCAAGCCGGAAGTCATGACTTTCCTTCCCCTGCCGTTTAATTTCTCTGTAATAACGTCCAAACGGGAAAGGTGGGCAGACCATTTCCAGTACGGCCCCCAAGCCAGCTTGGTAAACATCAGTAGTGCGGGGAGTCGTCCCAGCCAGCTTCCCGGGGTGGGAAACCGTTTCATCGTGTGTGATTGCAATCAAGAGCAAGTTCTTTCCTTTTACTCCCGTTCATAATGAAAATGTATTTTAATCATGTGCAATCTCCAGGAAAGATGGTCGCCTGAGAGAACAATTTTTTTTAAATAAGGAAAAGCTAAAAATAGAGACAAAGATGTCGATGCTATTGAAATTCCAAAGGATGTAACCTCGCGTTACAAACTCTGAATAATAATTTCGGTCTGGAGGAGGGGAGATGCCTGGGACCCGTTTCCCCAGTAGAGCGGTGACAGGTGAAGCAAGAGACTAAGGGCTGGGCAGCTCTCCCCCTGGATGGCGCGGGTGCTGGCGACTGAAACGCGAAAGAAGCAAAAGATTTCCTTCCAACACGGCCTCCTCACCAAGAAGGCTGAGTCACGTCGGAAAATCCAGTAGTGATGACCCGATGAGGAGGAAGAGGGTGCTGTTACCGTGGGAGAAGCTGGGTCTGGATCCCACTTCCGAGGGGAAATTCCAGCTTCCCAGGAGCAATGAGGGGCTGGGGAGCAAAGGGCAAAGGAAGCCCCAGCTGCTGGCTAGGGCCTGATAATTAAATTTAAAAAAATAAATAAATAAGAAAAGAAAAATGGAGGGAGGAAGAGGAGGCGGCTGGACCGAAAAGCCGCCTGGACCAGGGCCCAGCTGTGGACTGCAGTTCTCAGGTCTGGGAGTTGAGATTAGGAAACAGAGTGTCTGAGGGAAGGGGACTCCATCCTTGAAATGGGGCACCCCTGTTTGGGTGTAAGGCGGGATTTCTCAC